TACAAATGTATGCGATTTAAATCCGGAAAAATAGTTTCATTTCCTATAGATAGATTTAATTAGGTAGAATGTAAAATAAGGTGCCCTGCATTATTTGCTTTGAAAAACATATTAGTGAAGGTTAAGAGACTCGGAATATAATGTAACTTCCATACAAATAACACCTGTATTTTTTTACCAAATTTGATAAAATTAAATGAGCAAAATTTATGTATCATTATTTGCTTTGAAGACTTTCTATACCACTCTTTCAGGAGTAGTTTTGAATAAATAAATAAATATTTTGGACTTAAAATAAAATTTCCTTTATTTTAATTCCAAGTATTGTTTATATGATTTCCACTTGAGCTGATCTTATTTTACCACGCTTGTCGCATTAAGCTGACCGGCCATCAACGCCACCGTCCGGTCGACGCGCGTCCGAGAAGACATGATAAGAACAATAAATTATACTAAATAAATAAATAAACAAAGAACAATAAATTACTGGCCTGTTAGTAGCATCACATTTATTGTTTAAGCCTGCCAGAAAAAGCTTTTTATGCATTTAATAAGAGCGCAAAAGACATTTTGCATCGGTTCGTACGACGCGGCTCGACACGGTTCGACAAAGAATCTACGACGATGGTGGATCGGCGGCGTCGACGACAGATCGGCGGAGCGTCAACATCAGAACGGCCATCCAAACGGCAACATTAGAGGTCCGAATAGCCGTGACGACGGAAGAACGACTCCGAAAGTGGGAAGACATTTCATACACTCGATCTAAATTAATGGTTGCACGGCGACGATGTTGGTCGCACCGCGCTAAATGGCCGAGTCGGCGGCGATTCGACATAATGCGATAAGTATGGTAAAACATCTCAAGCTGATTCCGCGCCGGTAAGTGCACTCCTTTAACCGAAGTGATGCAATTCCACGTCATTAACTGTGGTCATTCTCTAAACCATCTCATTTAATTTTTATTTTGGGAGTAGCCGCTTAGAATAAATAGTACTTGTACTCATACCTAGTTCCACTTACTGCATTGTCTGGGTTAATTAGATAACAGGTGCTGTTTATAATTTCGAACATCGCCCTTAAAAACATTGTAACATCAAACATATTGTATTTTATATTTTCAGAAACTCCAAGAAAATGTAAAAGAAAATAATAGAAATGGAATTAATCGAGTACCCAGGTTCGGAGATTGTCCCATTTGCTTCGATGAACTAGGACAAAATCCGTTGGCTTCAACAAAATGTGGACATGTATTCTGTCTCCAGTGTTTAGAACAGGCATTGTGTAGAGAGAAAAGGTGTCCAAAATGCAGATGTATGCTTAAAGGATCTTCAGCTTACCATCCACTATTTGTTTAATTTAATATTATATTATTCCATATTAGCTAGCATATGGTCAATCTACAATTTAATTGATTTTTATAATTTCTTTCTACCGAATGAAAAAATGTCAGGAAAGTAGTTTCTGTGAGCAAAGCTGTCACTCTTTACATATTACCCACTATGTATAGAGCATTCTGGAGCTACACTGAAGTGCCAATGCCTATGTATTTAAATAGCCACTTAATATAATATTCAATCTGGCTTATTCCAAAAATTGTAGTATGTTTTTGACCTGGGCCTCCACAATCTTAATTGAAAGCTAGTCCGAAGTTCAAAGTGAACTGTTGAATCCTATTTATTTCAAAGTCCATTCTCTGTTTCTGCTTACTGATTACGATTAAGGGTTAACCCTTGCAACTTAAGTCAGCCTTAATTTTGGTATTATATAATTAGTAAACTCCATTATTTGATATCTATTTTTGTTTTGACATTTCTTATTGAATGCCAGACTGTTTTGGTTTGATAATTAGGGCTAGTAGGTTGATTACATGTATAGGATTTGACATTTCATTTTGAACCTGTGGCTAGTTTTTTTAAAACAGTTGAGGTTGTACAGCAAGTTGAGGGTGACATCTAAAAGAACTGACATTGGTATACCAATAGATTTAGTATATAATACTACCCTACTTTAGCATTAACATAAGAAAGCCTGTTTCAGAGCGAAGCAAAGGGCACTCGCGTGATAATAGTGCCCAAAGCAGGCCATTAGGGTGGCAATAAAAACTTTACTACTACTATCGCACACTTTTCACTAGCGTGTACCGTCACCTTTGGTCGCTCTGGAATCTTCCAAAATACTATTTAATATTCATAAACTTTATTGTGATTACTAATTAAGTTATTTATTTATCTAAGAATAAGATTTAAACAACCCAAATATAGGATGAGTTTATGCACACAAATCTGACGCGTACATATGGATGATTGACGAAGCAAACGTTTAATCGTAACCAATCCTAGACTCCTTTATTTTTTCCATCCTCTTAAGTAATCAATAGCCTTTGCTAGTTGTCACTGGCGACTTTGACAAGTCGGTTAAGGCTAACTTCACACTGGCGCAGAGTCGAAGCGTCACGAGACGCGTCATGTTTTTCGCCTATAAAATATTCATCTCTATTTTCCCATTATTAAGGTACAAATTCGTGTCATGCAAATATGGAAACACGCGTCGACGCGCGCCTTAGCGCTTCGACGCTTGGTTGCAGTCGAGCGGCTTGGCGCGTCGCCGCGCGTTATTTGAGGGCAGTGAGGCGTCAGACGCCTACCACACTGTGATCCGGGCACACTAATGCGAGCGTCGTCGCGCGACAACGCGCGTCGCCAAGCGTTGTACTTGAAAAACAGGACGCGACGCCGACGCGACGCTTCGCCTCTGCGCCAGTGTGAGTTGAGCCTAATATGTGCTGTTGTATTCGGTTTGAGTGCATTTAAACAGGTTTGTGTTATTCCATATTTAAATTCAGACCAACTTGATAAAATGTAACAAAATAGTTTGTAAACATTACGCTTCTTGCTTAGCATTCCGTAAATTACTCATTTCACCGATTTACTTGGGCAGATGTATTTTATAAACTTTTTAATTTTAATAATAGGTAAACATTTTGACTACCTGCAACGTTATTTGTATTCTAAACCTCACAATGTGAAAGTAATTTTCAATTATTGAATTTCATACTAGTTTTAATATTTGTCTGAATACAAATTAACAGCAAACGTTTTACAAAATAAAATTACGTTATACTTAAGACATTGAATTTATTTTCTTATACTGCTTAAAATTGTTATTTGCTATTGGAAATTGATATTTAAACGATAAAACCCTTATCAGTAGTACCTACAGTCAACAGGACATTCAGCTTTATATTTGTACTTTGTACCATTCTTATGATGAAGGGCGCGCATAAACTCCAATTGAAATATTTAAGTGTCCCTGCAGCTGAGCGTGCTGTTGTCTATAAGTACCTTATTATTGGGCGTATATCTTAATAATATTACATTACATGGAGACGCATTACATTAATACAATGATTTAAATTAACAAACAAACGTGAAGATAAAAATAAATGTTGATACCGGCTTAAAGGCTAAAGTGAAATAATGCGATATTGAACACATAAATAACAGTAAACAGTCTTAACATCTCCTACAGCATTTAAAGTAATTTTTCATTTCAAGGACTATTGCTTTTAGTTTTCATCAAAAAGGCCATTCCATGAACTCTGAAGTGCTTTTCTAGATCACTGGCATTGTCGAACTGATCTCTGCAAATTTTGCACTGATTTTCTTTAAGGGGCTCACTGTCAACTGTAGCATATTGATATTTTAACAGAGCACATTCGTTAAAACATTGTTTCTTATTAATAATGTAGTCTTCGACATCTGAAACACTGTGCTCAAGTAGTAAATGTTTGGAAAATGTAGGCTTGACCACAAAACATTGACCACATTCCATGCATTGATATGCCATACAAGGATCTTTGTGAATAATCAAATGTATCTCAAACAGTTCTTTACTTTCAAAATCATCACCACATTTGCCGCAATTGTATTTTTCTCTTCCCTTTTCTGGAGCTAGCGAGACTGAGTTTTGGTTGTCGTCCGCATCGTTTTTGTTTCTTATTTGTACATTTATAGGTTTCCTTATGAATGTTTTTTTGCTGATATGTTTAACAACAGTCGTCGTATACTTTTTAATTGTTTTATCATCTAGTCTGCAAAGAGTCACTTTGGCATCTAAGCATCGATAGGCCTGGTGGTGTGCAACGTAGTGCTTTTTAATCGATTTCCAGTCTTGAGGAATTTTCTGTTTGCAAAGGTGACAAACTATCTGTGCATTGGTATTCGCTTCCGCGCGATCACCATCGCTCTTTGTACATTGGTATGGGCACAGATTGGGCAATTTCTTAATCTGATCATACTTACATTTATACTTGAAGCTTCTTTTACATTTTTCACATCGCTTAACGACGCGATACAATCGCTTGGTTCTTGTACTATGTTTATTTTTCCACAACAAGTCGTATGCACTTTTCAGGACTTCATTTGCGCCGTGTAACTTTATATGGTGTTCGATTAAAGCGGGTACATCTTTAAAAATTTTACCGCAAGCCCAACACGGATACATGTTGATAGTATCCAAATGTCCTTTCAAGTGGTTGTCGAGCTGGTTTTGCATAATAAGCCTGCCTTTGCACATCCCGCATTGATAAAATATGGATGGTTTTCTGGGTGCCAATGTTTTTTCTGTTGCTACGTGGCGCATCATGTGCCTCTGCATTAAAGTTGGGTCTAAGCATCCAACATAACAGGAAGGGCATTTAAAAACTTTATTCAGATGATTATTTTTCATGTGATCCTTGTACTCGTTTGGGTGAACCAGATAGCACTCTGGCACTTGGCACTTTATTCTAGTTGTTGCTCGCATCATCTTAAATCCCTCGCAATCGTGATTATGATATGGGTACGATATACTTCTGTTGGATAAGTGCGTACCACACTCGGGACAAGTGTACGGGGGACATTTCAAATGAACGCGCAAGTGGGTCTTCAGTGCGCACTCTGTCGGCAGAGCAAACAAACATATTGGACATGAATGGACTGTGTTGACATCAGTGATTTCCATATAATGTTTTACTCTGTCAACAGTAGTTCCCGTATTAGTAACGTCTTTTTTGCATTCCATGCATATAATTTTTGTAAGTATTTGTTTATCTTGAACGTCAGACGTTTGTTTCGCTGTTTCCTTTGATTTTTGAAGAGCTTTCATATTAAAAAAATTAAGTGGGAGAGGATCTACTTTTAAATCTGTTACATTGATGGTTGCAGTCTTGAAAGAATGTGATCTTATGTGTGCAAGAAAATTACATCTATTATAAAACACTATCAATTTACCACAATGGCGGCATATGTAGCTAATTTTTACCGATTTTCGATTGATGTGAAAGTTGTAACTTGACTCCAGTATGTACCTGCAAAAATGTAATCTGTTTTTACAAGAAGCAAGGATGAACTACATAGAGCGTATGCAAAAGAAATTCTTAAAGGACGAACTATTAACGGATGATTCATTTATTTTAAATCCTTCAATTGTTGCAAACTAGGTATATGTATTGTAACATTTTTTAATACATTACAGTCTTAAGAGGGAGCAGAGGAAAAATTCCTAATCTTCGATTTGATTTTAGAGGGGTATATCCACTTTAAAGTTAAAAATAAAATATTGTATGAGTAACTACACGATATATTCAAGCATAGACACTAATCAGAAACATAAAACAATAAAGTTTTCTCGATAGATAAAAATCACGAAATGACCTCTAATTTTCTCATTTTTTCGATTTATCCTCGAAATGCTACAGGTTATTAGGACAAAAATTAGATAATTAATTATATTTATGCATGATCGAGAACTGTCACTACGGATTTTTTTAATCCCTGAGTTATTCCGCTAAAACGAATTTGATACTTTTAATGCGCAAAATTCAACATCTCCTGTCGCATGTCACGCGAACTTCAGGCATATATTTGTTTCACAAATTTGGGCGGAGCCCACGTCGATACTTTTTTGGCCTGGTCCCTCTTAAGCCGGGTACCTACTCATTTGCGAGCTGTAACTGTAGCATAACAGATACAGTAACTATGGTCTATTGTGTACGCGTGTAACGTCACTCGCTAGAATGAGTACCTAATTATCGTCGGCTCACTGCGAACCGCACGTGTTCCGCTTGCGGACCACGTACACACTTATGATTTTTGGTAAAATAAAGCCGGGTACTCATTAGCGAGCTGTAACTGTAACGTGACAGATACAGTAACGATGTTCTAGTGTGTATGCTTGAAAGTCTTCAATCAGACGGCTCACTGTGAACCGCACGCGTTCCGTTCGCGTCAAGCTCGCGAACCACGTACACACTATGATATTTGGTTAAATAACATGCATCGGTTACGGTTACAGCTCGTTGGTACACCCGCTTTAGTTTAGGTGTTATTCTATAATATACAAATACCAACAATTTTTGCAATGGTGAACTTCCCTCAAATCTCAGAACAAAAAAGTGGTGATACAATCACGTGGATTACAGTCTCAAAGTAGGAAATTCCTGTACTATGATTACCATAACAAGAGAATTAATTCCGACGTCATTACTCAGAACATCCAGATCAGACCCAATTTAGAAAAATTCATTTCTCAAATTGGTACTTCCGGGAATCGAACCCGGGACTTCCTGATCTAGTGCCCATGGTGCTAACCGCTAGAACCATGTGTTCCAGCGTCAAGAGTAAATTAGGCTATATTTTAGAAAAAATATGAACCATCGCCATCGCCGATACGGGCCATGCTCAAACATGTAGGTCAGCAGCTTGATTTTGTTTGCCTATCCCAATCGGAAACTGCGTCTTTTCCGAGTCGAGGCGTATAATATTGCGGGTGAGCTACCCAACCGGATTGATTCGGATTTGAATTAAAATCAGGACCCAGTAGTACGGATAAATATGCACTTACTTGTCTCCACAGTCAATGCAAGTATAAATTTTGTGTCCATTTACGGGCACTGGTATTACGTAGTTTGGTAATGACTTGGAAAATAACAAATTTTTGATGCTATATTTGTCATTCATTGAGTCTCCAGATCCAGCCATTGTTGAAATCTAAAAATAAGATAGTTTAAGGTATATTTTTAGTATAGTAAATAAGTAATACTGGTACTCACAAAAAAGTATAGTAACAATATATGCGCCGGTAATGATTTTTTATTGATAAATTCATGATCTCCTCATCGTGTAGTTGTGTAAGTATGTTCTATAATGAATAGTGAAGATATGTGTATAGATGTGAATTTAAATTTTATTAGTTTTGAAGTGTAGCATAAAGCACAAACATTATTAGATACCTCGGACCTTCTCAAACCTACAAACCATGAAGAGATGTGATAGACAGCATGCTTATTAGGCGTAATCAGTACTACACCCACTACAAAGTGCATACATCTTCAGTGTTGCTATTATTGCATGTTCATTTACCCCAGTCAATTCGTAATTAACCTAACATTTATTTTTGGGCTAAACAAGGTAAGTAAAAGATTTAGAAGAAAAAAGCATTTTGATACAGAAAAAGGACTTTTATATAAAAATGATTTTCCATATTAGAACAGGTCGTAGAATCGTCTTTAGTCGTTAGACTAAATAAATAATGTTAATAAGTTAATAAGTAAATACAACAGATTATTAACAAGTATGTTAATACTTGTTAATAATCTGTTGTATTTACTTATTAACATAAAACTTGTAAATATTAACATTGAAGTTTCACGTACTGCAAAATATTAATTTTAAAATTTTATTTTTTGTGACTGAAATTAAAAAGTCGTATATCAATTTTTTAAGTATTGTTGTAGTCTGCTGAAACAAATAGATGTTTTGGTGTTTCTAACAGGGTATATAATCAGTATTGACTTATTCGATGTTTTTAAATTTCATTATTGAAATAAATACAAGTCAATAGACAGTCAAGAAGCTTGATAGTTTATCAAGTAACCAATCGGTTTGCATGTGATTGGTAGATTTATTCACATTTTATTTTAGTGCCGAAATAAAAAAGCGAATGCACTCGTTGTTAATTGAAGCCTTTCATTAACTTTTCATCTTTACCTTTAAAACTAATTCACCTTCCCAGATTCATCATATGTTAATGAACATTTTCTTCATGCAAGGATATGGTTATCAAGTCAACCTGTGAAAGTCACAGTATAATTGGTGTCATTGCAATGTTTTAAGGCCAGACTCGTGATTGAAACTAGATTAATATCAGCTAGATTAATGCCCATTTTGTCCGAAAATCGTCACAGGTGGCAACACTAAAATGAACACGAAAATGGTATTTGATGATAGATGCGGATCTAAGATTCGCCGTCATGGATATGCTAAAGCTGCATTCCGTGCACAACACATAGACATGAGAATATTAAATTTAACTTACATTTGTTGAATTTGAAGCCATCAGAACATTAATTGCAAGCAACACAATCGTATACCATTGTCCTCCATCACTTTGACATAAAAATGGAAAAGCGACCTCTGCAGAGCAACAGTGAACTTACAGCGAGTGTCGCTATAGTAAAAATATTCAGTGTTGCAATGTAAAATTTTAATTAAAAAATGTTTTGAAGATATAGGTTTATGAGAATTGTCCACGATAATCTCGTTATTTTTCTTAATAATTTTCTGAGTACGAGTCTATTTACACAAAGAAAATTAAACCAAAACGAAACATGTATAGTTTCAGCTATTGCGTTGCCTTTGAACAAAAAAATGTTGCTATTATAAATCAAGTAACTTTAGAATCTTATCTATATTACCGACATTGAATTTGCAAATAGACAGTTAATTAAGGAATTGAATAAAACAAGTTACAGAAAAAATACAAATATTTTATTTTATTAAAATTGTACTTAAGAGCTACAATATGGCACGTTTGTCAGTCGTTAAGTTTTTTAAGCTATAATGTTACACATTACCATTTCTTATAAATAATGTAATAAGTAAATATATTTGTATTAACAAGACTTTATGTAACTATCATAATAGTACACTGAGTAGTTAGTGTATTAATCAAACTGCAGTTAAAATTGTACTTTGTAGATAATCAATCAGTAAAAATACTGTTTATATGGCATTAGAATCAATAGCATTGATTCCCTGATGAAAAAGATACAGAAGTTCTTTTTCATATTCATCACGCTTCGAGTAGTGGACAATGTCAGATCTTTCTTCAAAAGCATTTTCTGCTACAAGTGTACTGTATATCATTTTATTTTGAAGCATGTCCGAATCATTAGGCAACAGTACTAAATAGCTTGCTGTTGTTCTCGCAGCCTCTTTGTACCTGTCCAGACGATAATAAGATATCTGAATATAATTGAGAACATCCGCTAGAAACCCAACACCAGAATGATATCCAAGAATTGCAAGTTTATCTTGGCATTGTTGCCGACAGTGGAGAAGTGATGCTATGTTATTAGACACTGTTACAACAAATTCAGATGATGATTCCTGTTCCGGCTGCCTTTCACAGTCTGCACGACACATGTTTTCCCAAAGTATGTAATCTGACACAACTTCTTCCATACTTGCTATAGTTTCACCCCAGTTATTATTTTTATATGCTTGTATGCCCATTTTGTACATGACTGTGTAGTCCTCACTTTGTAGGTCAACCACTTCATTTGCATCGACTTCAGGCTGTTCTATGTAATATTTGAGATTTCTTTGCATTTGCTCATTGTCTGGATTTACTACGAGGTGTGTGAATACAGCAGAAGCGGCTTTGGGTAAAGCATTCATTTCGAAATAGCACACATGCAAATATTCATATGGTCTTCTCATCTCCAAATTGAATATAGTTGAATCTCTAATAGTACTGTTTATATGCATATCGTTGAATCCACTTTCCTGGCACTTATACAAGCAATCCCTTTTTACAAAAAACCTTTCGTATATCTTCAGGTCTTCAATATTCTCTTTAATTTTAGATTTATACTCTGGCGAGTTGCACGTGAGTCTGCAGTTGTTCACAATAGATTTGTAAAGCTTGTACAAATGTAATGATTCCTCGAAGTACTCGATACATTTTGACCAACGTTCGTTACTGTATGCCAGGACGCCTTGTTCATAGGTATTATCCACAGAAGGCAAAACTAATTTCGTTGTGCTTACACGTGAACATGTTATTAAAATAACAATTAAATAATAACGGAACATATTGCGTGTTATATTCTCAATGTATCACTTTGCAAATCCAGAATTCAAACTACTAATTTTAAAACAAACTAAAAGTAGACATTGGGCGCATTTTTATCTATAGTTCCAAATTATATCAATGACCTCCGGTGAACTTTGGCCCAACTTTTTAATTATTACTTTTTTATTTTGATAGGTTGATTATCTGAAAATGGAATGTAACTCGCAGCAACTTTCATAGTAAAATAAAAATATCTCGGTGGAAATGTCGGGATATTGAATGATTATTCCAATTAAATTAATTATTCGAGGTAAATAATTTTTTAAATGTTACTTTGCTTTACAAAATCCGCACTTTTGTTCTTTCTTGCGCTCCGTTTCGTGTTACAAATGTCAATGTCAACAATGGCAGCATTCAATGCGGATAACGCTTAGGATGGAAAAAAAGGAAAACGAATAATTTTGCTGTCAAATGCGTTATAATAGCATATAATAGTCTGTGGTTATCAATTATATTTAAATACGGATTTTGTTTCACAGATTATTTTACTTACAAAAAAAAATTCAAAATTCAGAATTTTTCCGTCCATGACAACCAATATTGTCACACCACAGTTGAGCACCATCTACTTGACAACTTAGCACGAGCTTCAATCTCGTATCCACCTGACTTTGGTTGAGAAAATATATTTGTTTACGTTTGTTTACATTTTTTTTTACGATCAAGGTATTGTAGTTACGTGCTAAAGTTAGTATAGTACCATGCCTTATCGTAACGAAGTTCTATGCGGTAACTGGAGCGAAGAAAGATTGAAAAATGAGGTTCGTCTTAATCGTTTTACTTCTACATCACTATCGAATAATATCAAATATTACGTCGCATTACAATTATCATCATTTGGTTAACATGTCTTTTCTAAAGAGAGGGTCTAGTGCGGTTTGCCATACAGGTAGGTACCAAGTGACAGAACGAACAAGTCGTACGCCTGGTGTAGTGTCGCTCAGAGCTTTAAATCGCAAGAGTCTCAGAGACACTGCCACTGTGCCCGTCACCCTCGGACATAAGTTGACGAGTCTCATGTGCCTGTAATTTCACCACAATCCAAAAGGATTGTGAAGGAAGGAAAACATCGTGATAAAAGCTGCATGTCGAAAACGACATGCAGCTTTTATCACGATGAAAAGACGCGTGATGGGAATGAAGCTTCATACTGGATACTTGTCTTTTAATTTTGTCGAATATTACTTATTTGACAGTAATTGTTTCGGACGGATGTTGGACGGAGATCGAGAGTAGACCCCCAATTCAGATTCATTTATTTCTCGAATATAAAATTACAATATAAATTGCACTACATGTCAAAGTATAAGAAATTATATTGAGATCGTCAGACAAAAATGAAAATTATTAGAAAAATACACACAATAAACACAATAACTAGAAAATTAACATAGGAAATGAAACTATTTTTCCTGAGACTGATACAGTCAACCGTGACCATGGGACCTGTAAAGGGCCCGAAACGTCGGTTTGTTTGAAAAAACAAATATACGCGATTTAAATCCGGAAAAATAGTTTCATTTCCTATGTGTAACAATCGCGAAAACCTAAGAACTCGATAGAAAATTAACAATTCATTATACATATAAGGATCTCCATCAAGGATCGTCATAAATTGATAACAATTATACAAGAGTATGTCAATGCGGTAAAAATTATAATAAAAATAGAAAATACTCAATATCGCAACATACAATTTTAAGTCCATAAATAAATTCATTACAGAATATAAAGGATTTCTCAATAAAAGGTCTTTCAGCCGGCGCCTAAACGTTTTGTCAGACGGTTCAAGTCTCAGGGTCGTATTCCAGAACTCTACTCAATGCTCAAGTCAGGACTTCAGTATAATTTAAAGCACTGAAAATCATACTCAAGTCCTTGCCATTAGTGTCGTATTTCCAGTGCTTGAAATCATACTCAAGTCTGCTCAAGTCCTGACTTGAGCATTGAGTAGAGTTCTTGAACAAGACAGAGAGAGTAACGGGTAAACGCTCATACTAAGTTGGTTCGATGACACGCGAGTTTTTTTCTGCAAGTGCCATGCGCCGGGGGACTGTTCTCAAATGACCGGTACGGCGGAGTGGGATGCCAGAAACATTTACAGTACCAAATGAAGTAAGATTATTTCTAACGTACATTATAATTTCGTATATGTAAAGTGAGTAGTGCGACATTATGCGTTACACTACAAAGAGATTTCTGCAGGAATGTCTGTGTTTTACCCCAACCAAAACGCGTACGGAACGTTTTTGCATTAGCATGACTCTATTGGCATCCGTGGAGTTACCTCATACGGTTGAACCGTACTACATCAGCGAGTGGAAATATGCAAAATAGAGCTGTCTTAATGCAGAATCAGAAATGAGCAATTTTAGTTTACACAACGCAAAGACTGCACCACTCAGTCTATCACACAGTTTGTCAACATGGCACTTCCAGTTAAGTTTCAAGCCCAGAGTGAAGTCAAGGAACCTACTCTTATTGCATATCGGCATTGGATTACTTGACATGAAACTTATATGTACAGCGCTTCTCAGATCTTTACGATTTACAGCACTGAGTGGCATTGCAACTGCTATGGACAGGCCTGCTTATCACCAAGGCTCACCAGGCGCATGACTTGTTCGTCTCGTTTCTTCCTCCTCCTTGTGTCGTATACTTTATTACTGAGGGTTGTGACTCCCTCGCGGAAACGGTCTTCGCATGACGACGTCCCATGCAGAGAACCTAAGAATCCTACTAAGACATAAAAAACACATACATGGTAGAAGAAGCAACCGTTCTGTTATCGCATTGTAAATTAGACGATTTAAAGGTATACAGTACCATACATAGGGTCGTATTTGGCACCCGCGACACAGGGTTTTCCCTAGTGCGGGGTTATGTTGAGTGTGTGCGTTATGTTGAGTGTGTGCGTATTCTAGAATTCTACTCAATGCTCAAGTCAGGATTGCACTGGAAACACAAGCACTGGAAATACGACCCTAATGGCAGGGACTCGAGTATGATTTCGAGTGCTTTAAACCATACTCAAATCCTGACTTGAGCATTGAGTAGAGTTCTAGAATACGACCCATAGTAATTATTTTATGTTGTTTGTTATCGTACATCACCAGCTGAAATGTGATCGCAACATTTTTACATTCTGCTTAAAGCCACGTAACTTTTTTACTACTAGATTTGATTTATAAATCTATATTTATCATCTCAAATCACGATATTTTCTTTAGAATATCCTTATTAACTATAATTAAGACCACCATACTCCCGTCCGCTAACTAAAACGAAGCCATGTGAAAAAAAAATTTTTTTTTGAGATATCAAATAAAACCACAGTTTTAGAATATTGAAATTATTTAATGACATTTTTTATGCCTCACTGTGGTATCTAATTGTTTGAATTCTATCTTGTGCCATTTGAAACTGGTATTTGACCACTTGTCACCTTTGAGTTAGTGGACGGCAGCAAAGATCCTTGATCAGTTATCTGCTAATTAATTACTTAGATACCTTTTTACTGCTGTGGTGTCAAATTGCTTGGGAAAAGTACTCGCTAGATATTTATAGAAGATACACAGGGTGTAAATTTGAGACGGGGCAGCAGGGCCTGCTACCTTAATCGTTGTAGTTACAGGAAAACGGTTCTAGAAGACGATCCATGAATTTTGAAGAATTTGGTTTTACATAATTCTTAATTGTAGAGTAGTGGCCAATTTCTTTTCTAACACAAAGTTTTCATTTAAAATGTGTGGTAAAAGGTTTTTTGCGATTTCTGACATTTCGAGTACTCTTACCTCAGTTGGTCCCATAGAGACTTGATCCTTACCAGAGACTGGATCGAATGGCATAAAAAAAAGTTTAGTAAAAATTGCCTTTTATCTTGCTGACTGTACCATTGTTTCAACCATTTTTTTCGAAATCTGTGAATGCCAATCAAAATATCTTCAAAATTCATGAGTCTTCTAGAACCGTTTTCCTGTAACTACAACGATTAAGGTAGCAGTCCTTGATGCTCCGTTTCAAGTTTACACCCTATATACCAACATAGGTTGTGGTAGATAATAATAAATGTATAAACATTATATTATTTGCATATAATTCAGTACGAGTTCAAATTGTTTCTGCGGAAACGCGACAGAAAGGAGTTGTTGCTGCAAAAGTCAAGGACTCTGTTTAGCAATCTTCTCATGGAAGTAAGTTACATTTTACACTTGAGTTTTTCTTAGCCTGTGGTTGTACTAATGTTGAGGAAGGTTATTATTTCGTAGAAATGGTAGAATTGGAAAGATACAAGTAATGTTGACAGGAATGTCGGTGCCCGATTTTTCTATTCTCGTATTGAATGAGAAGTTCGTTTTTATCCGTCAGGACACTTTTTTAATAATATTAGATCGCAAGATTTAATAATATGATGTCGTAAGATATAATATTATTAAAAACAAAACCGACCTCGAAAATTTGATCATCCGCTGCAGCTGTGTTCTTTACCGCGGTCTCCTCAATGATAGACAGTCCTCGTCAAAACTAATCATATGACTCCAAACACAAAAGCTATACAGGATTAGCATGAGCCCGAAGACAAAAGTTATCTCTTTTTCGAACTGTCAATTTTCTTTTGAAAGTGTCGAAAAGATTGGCACTTCAAAGAAGAGATAACTTTGTCTTCGGGCTCATGCTAAGTCTGCTGCTGTACACTGTTGACGAGTTCCTCTCGCCTGACTGCCATTTCTATCATCAGATCACCATATCATTTTATTTTTTTGGAATTACAACTCTGTGCCAAGTTTTATTGAAACCGGTTGTAGCGGTCTGTATCAATGGGTTAAAGGTTGGGTGCTAACAACGGCTGAGCAAGGCCAAGCAAATGTACTTGCAGTTTAATAATTTTATTACAAAACACGTATGTCGCTATCAAAGCAAAACAGCAAACACAAATCAAGAAAAGGCGCCAAAAACAATCACGTTTAAATTTAGAATTTAAGTATAAAACTAAAACTTATAGATTATAAAGTATATACAAAAGAGATTTGTAGCAACTGCAGCGATTCGTTACACCGGTTAACGGAAAGGGGGTGGAATTCAATAACCCAGATTCATCCCCTAATTTGCCACCATTATAGATAGAATATTTTCTTCAAACTTGGTGGGGACCATTACTGAGGTACCCCCCTTTCCAACAAAAAAGAATCATCGAAATCGGTTTACAAGTGTCGGAGGAATCGGGTAACATACAAAAAAAGGAGAACCTCTTCCGTTTTTGAAGTGGGTTAAAAACAACCCTACGTTATCCTTTCCATTTTTGATTGTCAACCTATCTATTTCAGAGACCTCTTGCTATAAGCGGCATGTTTGTGTTATTTGGTTATAATGTTCAAGTCGTCGCATTGGATATGCCAGGTTAGTTGGTACAAGATTGTAATATCAAATTATATTTATAATTTTTAAATTCAATTAGATTATTATTCCTACGTTTTATCTTCCAGGCATTACTTTAAAAGTTTTAATTATAACGTTACAGTTTTATTTACGTAATAATAATTTTATAACAAAAGGCTCAAAAAACACTTTTTAAGGCGAGTGTGAATAGAAATTATTTAGGTGTGAATGCTCCATCGTCGACTTCATCATCACTTTCCATCAGGTGAGATGGAGATGAAATGCGCACTAACTTTTAAAAAATAAAAAACATGTCTAAAAATTATTTAAAAAAACAAAAACCTGACTGCAAAAATATTTAGCTGGAAAGAAAAAAAATATTCTCCCCTCACTATTTTGTTAATTTGTATAGCCCATCGAGTAGGTATATACTCGATGATATAGCCTATGACGCTCCCATAATCAAGACGAATCTAACAATACCTCATATGTCTAAATCCTTCAAGTCGTTTAGGCTGTACAGCCTATTTTTCCATCCTCTAAGCTGTACAGTGTGAAAAAGAAATGGACATACATCATACATACACTTGAAAAACATACTCTCCCGCAGTCGGGTAAAAATAGGTACAAAACTGTGTCTAGTTCCCAAACTAAGATCCCCTGTACTATGGTTTGGGGATAATACAAAGTTATATTTGTTGGACTTTGTCTGGCTATTGTTAATTATACGAGGGTTGCCTTTTATATTTCAGGATTTGGCAACCCTAATTTTGCGATCTGGCACTCCACGTCTCCATCGTATACGTGGGGCGCATTGTAAGTTTCCGGAATGAATAAGAAAAAAATACTATAAATGGTCAGAAATGAATTTGTTGTTTCTCAAAACATTCTCCGTTAGCATTAATGCACTTTTCATACGAATTAACCAATAATAACATCGAATTCGATGTTATTATTACATTCAAATTTCGAACATCTCTGAAAAAACAAAACAATTTGATTCGACCACAATTCTAATATCAGTCAAGATGAAGTTTTATTCGAAATGAAATGTTTTGTGTTGTAATGTGTAAACAAATTTCACACGTTACTTGATATCGAACGATATGATAGTGGGGTTGACGTGTTCCGTTGCACTGGAGGCGATTTTCGAACAAAAATGTGTAGTCTGATGCGCCGTCGTCCGTACAATCTACTATTGTGTGACATGCGTGAGAAAAGTTTTTATTTGCCGCCATTTCGCCAGTTGTTACATGCGGTTCCTCAACACATCATAGAGAGCTTATAATTTTTTATTTTTTTTAAATATTTTTTTTTAATAACGCACATACTCAACATAGCCCCGCACTAGGGAAACCCTGTGTCGCGGGTCACATAGACAACCACAAATTACACCGAAACTCACGAGAGAAATAAATGTAGGCATATAAATATTTCGATCTTTCGATATTTGGGAATCGAACCTGGGACCTCCAGGCGAGTATTTTAATGCCTTTCAATATATAACAGTCGCATTATAGTAGTTTATGTGACTGTTACACAATGAAAAGCATTAAAATACGAGCGTGGGTTTATGAAACGAGCCGACAGGCGAGTTGTATTTGTACCACGCTACCCCCAGTGTTGGTATTATATATTTTCGAGTTTCAACAATAACAACACTGGGGGTAGCGGGGTATAAATACACCAACCGTTCGGAACGAGCTCACGTTCGCGCTTATACACCGCCTGCAGGCTCTCCAAAATAGATTCATGCGCAACGCGACGGGTGCCCCGTGGTACCTGCGCAACGCTAACCTCCTAGATTTACGGCTCCCCACAATAGCCCCATTCATGAAACAGGCATCGAGGAAATACTTCGACTCTGGTCCTCACCACCCCAACCCCCTCGTGGTGGCTGCATCCAACTACGACCCCCTCCGGGAACACCCCCATCGCGTACGTAGGACCCGTCGGCCAAGTGAAGTCCTCAACAACTTGACGACCCTATCACTCTCGCCACTATGAAGGTCAACCAGATCGCTAATCAGTCCCGTCCCTCACGCACCAACCGTCCTCGCCGGCGCAGAGCCCTTCAGTTCAGCACGTACAGTGGTAGATTCTCTTCAATAGTACGCCCTTCTGGCGGAAGTCTTCAGTAGCGCCCTGAGCCGAGGTCCGTGTCCACTTGGGCGCCCTCAGGCCCGCTACTTAGTTTTAAGTTTAGTTTGTAGTTTACGTTACGGGTTATGAGCCTTCAGCTCGCCCTTTTCTTCCGGTGGCGCAGTCAAGGCCATCAGCGGCCAACTGCAAAGTGTCCTTAAAAAACACGAACTCACTCTTTGGCCGAGCGTCGAGCAGTCAACACCCCTGAGGATACCTTGTGGAGAGGCGAAACACGTGTCGGGTGATGGTTTGTGAATGTAGTTGCGCTTGTGTTATTTATTTTATTAATTTTATGCGAAGGGAGGGTGGGATAATTAACTCCATGAAAAAATATTCAACACAAGCGTAGCTATTTTGCACGATTTAACCTTCACTGGGTTCGCGGAGTACCAAATTAATTTACTTCCTTTTTTATTAATATGGACTTCCGCAAAGTAACGCCTGAATCTATTAACTAGTTTACATTTATGCTGGTCGTAATTTTGCGGTTTTTGAACACATTAAAGAGAGTTTATGATATGTGTGTAGATAAAATAATTTTAAAAATTCATCTCAGTCAAAAAATGGAATTCAGGCGTGGACATTTCTGTACGATTATTTTTTACAACTTTCGACATAGATTAACTCAACAAGACTGCATTGATGAACTTTATTCGACTTTTGACGATGAAGCTTCATCAAGAACGTGTTTATTGTTAGTTTTTCTAATCACTCAAACTCGAATTTCCAAAATCGGTTGTTATTCCGTAAAACATTGACGCTGTGCGAGAACAGATGCTGCAACATCGTCATGTGACCATTAGCATTCATTCAATATTGCATGACCATTTAGTCAACCAAAAGATTTGTTCGCGTTAGACCCTACGTAATTTGACGATCGCTCAAATTATGGGTCATGTCGATAGGTCGAAAGAAATGCTAAAAAAATACGATCGCTATACTCCAAAAGACGTCTATGACATCGTAACATGAATCTGCGCGTATGAGCCCGAAAATAAACGGCGCTCGACTGTATGGGTAAAGACCCATACAGTGCCGTACAGAACCATTCGTGCGCGAACAGCTTTTCGCTGTTCGCGCACGAATCACTTCAAAGCAAATAGTCGCATGGTTTTCGGAAAGACTGGATATAACGCAACCTTACTATTAGAACAACGTAGAACGGTCAATCCTGAATGGTACGCAACCATTTGTTTGCCAGTAAAGAAATAGAAAGACCAATCGCCAAAGACTGATCATTCTTCAGCACGACAATGCGAGCTCTCAGACATTGGGTCAAACAATTGAATTTTTGAGCACTTAAAATGTCGGTTTGATGGGTCACCTGCCGTATAGTTCGATTTGGTACCCAATGACTTCATTTTATCCCAGCACATCAAAAAAAAAATCGAGGTCTCCATTTTTTTATGCCTGAAGAAGCGATGATGTATTTAAAACGCGTGTTATGGAGGTACCTCAATTAGAGTGGAAAAAGTGTTTCGAAAATTATTTTAAATGTAGTCATAACTATTTTCATCTTCATGGGAAATATCTTGAAAAACAATAAAGTGATTTTCTGTGATAAATATTTGTTATTGTTCTCTAATCCCGAAATATAAAAGGCAGTTCTCGTAGGCTTTGGTGTAAAGAAACTTTATGGGAAATCCAATCATAAAACCGACACCCACACATGTATGGAACGTATAGGGTTGATACATATATAACCCTCGATGGGTTTATATTTCAATCATGAGCGTTGACTTGTGTGTTTTGTTCTTGTGTGTGATAGAGTCATTGTATTTGAGTTATTATACAAGGCACAAGCTTTGTATCAGCCAGGCACAGCCACAGATCAACACATGCATCGTTACAGATTAGAATTGGAATCCTCGTGTTAGCATGTATCAACACTGCGTCTATATATATTAACTAACACTACAATAATTCCTATCTATAATAGCCACGATCACATAACATACGGCAAAAAGTACTTTTGTCGCATGAAAGTCATACAAATAATACGAACTACATGAAACAAACTATATTCTATGAAATTCTATAACTCTTCTATTTAGGTATAAAAAAGTTTCGACTAATTTCATTTGTACAATCTTTATACTTCTCTCTTGAAAAGTTGTCAGTTTGCAGATGTAGCCTTATAATATCAAGGGTGCGAATTTATAAAAAAGACCTCTAGCTTCAATATTATCGATATCTCCAATAAACACTACGCCAACCATTGACTTACAAATAAATGGACGTCGGGTCCGCGCTAAAAAGTGTCCGCAATTGTAAGGCGCTAAAATCGTATACAGAGCGCGACACTCCGCTTTAGTCTTCATTTGTTCTACGGACAGCGCGATACTGCGATGACATAGCAATTTAAATTTCGAATAGGTTGACTTGGGACATTTTTTTCGTGGTTTTTGTATTAGACCCGTCGTCCATTTATTTGTAAGTCAATGACGCCAACTTAATTTTTTGGTCATTTTCTGCTATTATTGGAAACTGCCATATTTATTTACTAATATTATGCTTCCCGAATTTTGTAAAACGAGAAAAACAAAAATCAAAATTCGAAAAAAAAAACATAATTTTGGGAAAAAAGTAAAGAAATAAAAACAAAATAAAAACATATCGAGTTGTTAGGTTTTCGCGATTATTACACAGGAAATGAAACTATTTTTCCGGATTTAAATCGCGTATATTTGTTTTTTCAAGCAAACCAACGTTTCGGAGCCCTTTACAGATCAACCGTGACCATGGGATCTGTAAAGGGCCCGAAAGTTGATCCAAAAATTAAGTTGACATAGTGTTCATTGAAGGTAATCGTTGTGTTACTTTGAGAGGCAGTAACAAGTAGTTTAGTAATATTTCGTAAGTAGCCACTTTAAATATGCAGTATGCGTTTAATGAAAAAATCTTCATTGACCTAATAAAGAACACTGTTTAATAGCGACAGAAACAAATGGTAAGAAGCAATATGGACTAGCTTTGTCTGGCTTGGTCACTGCTCGTCAGGTGGACTATATGCAAAATATCAATGATGGCTGCCTCATGACTCTGTCGCCCATCATCACGCCATGCTGTCGGAACACTTTTGTTATACTCAGGTTTGAGAATTGTGGTATTTTTAGTTTAACCCGTTTAATAGACAGTAACGACGTTTATCGTAAAATTAAATATCAGAAATGTAGAACGGGTATCCCGTTTCGCTATATAAATATCAAAAAGTAACTACGGGCTGTTACAGTGCAATTTCGAAATACTTTGTGTTGTTGTCGCCTATTGCTACTCTATAGAGAATTTCAAATCAAATCTGTACGTTGTTGATTATTATCAACACTGCACTTATTTGATTTGCATTGAAAGAAAGTAAGAAAATACATTTATTTGTTTACCACAATGACACCACAAAAGAAAAAAACGAAACAAAAAAAACATAATTAAAACATTTAACGTCAACTTTAAAAATTATTACGAAACAAAACATAAAACAAAGAAATCATTAAATTAAAACACAACCTATTCACACAAACAGTACCTAAACTAGATACAGAGATACTTTGCGTGGTGTCAGCCGCGGTAACAAATGACTCAGTATTTGCTAGAATACGCAATGCGTTCCTAACACAGATTTTCAGTTAGAATCCTTAGTGAAGTGTCGAAACAACATAACAAGATAAATAATAGATAACATAGCAAGACATTGAACATATTATATTGAATCAATATAAGTACTACGGCACAAAGAGATACAGTGACATTTTTGTGTGCGGTACTGTTTAAGCATTGTCCATGAACAGCTTAAGATAATATATAAAACAAGTTACGTTGGACGAGCAACGACTTATGGGCGACTCCGAGTCTTTGTTAGGTATGGTGGGCTGTACTTTAAATTATACAATGTGCTACTTCTATAAGTTGCATTAAGCGCGTTGTAAATCCGCACGTTACAATTTTTTTAAATCATGTTAGACAGATTTTATGAATAAAATAATAAACTACATTTAGTTAGACATGGAAAGTGGAGCATGCGGAAAGGAACAACCAGTAGCCTATTGAATTGGACCTTTAGACCGATATATAAATGCTTGGCGACTTAGGTAGAGTGTATAATTTGCATTTAATGTGTCCACTGATCTTTTAGTAGCAGTAGAGCTCCTTGTGAAAGAGTTTATCCAGGTACTGTCACTATTCCTATTTCTACCGGCAAGCAGTAACGTGCGCATCTTTGCGTCCAAGTTTTAAGTAGTGTTGAAAAAATTCGATTCCGGGAGTCTAGAAGTACATTTATTACGACTCAATTTTGCACAAGTCGGTGGTAAAACACTTCCGAATCTGAGTCGATACGAGCGTGAGTTATTGGAGCACCGACTCGAATCTAAAAAGAACTCTAGCTGTAAACCTAACTCGAAGTTTGAACAAAACCTAGTTTTTTGAACAAAACTTTTCAAAATCTCGAGTACGACAAGTAGGGTTCAATTTTACTGAACAACTGCTATTGCCAACGAATTAAAAAAACAAAATATGGTTATTTATAAAACCAGTATGGTGATTAATAAAAAAAAGATGTTAATGTACTTAATTGGACATAGTTATGCAAACTAGAACCAACGCACAAAATGTCACTTTCGAGATAATTAGATTTTTGTAAAAACAGTGTGAAGAAGTAAATAGGTAAACTATTTGAGACAAACAACGTGAGTTATGTGTAGCATTGAGAATGATATGGGAAAACTATTATATTATACAGCAATAAATAGAAGAAATTATGTATCTTTTTATTTCGTCAACGATAAACATGTTCCAGTTTTCGTAATGAAAACGATAAAGATCTACAGTACTTCAGTACATGTGACATAACTGGATATATTTAGCATATTTAAAAAAATACATTATGAAGTTAAGCAGCATGGTTCTTTTTAGCTATTAAAAAGTTACTTATTTAGGGTTGGTACCTTAAAGGACTTTTATTTTCTCCGTTTTGGATTGGGATATTGCCATGATCTTTTGTGAGCGGGTAAAGGACACGTCTGGTGTTCTACCTAAATACATAATTCAATTTTACACGAGGTGGGGGTTGGTTCTTGTTTGCATAACTATGTCCAATTATACTACTGTTTAACACACAACACCACCGCTCAGGTAGGTACTTGTCAGACTCGAGCTCGACTCGTTACATTAATAGACTCTAGCACTAATGTCGAACTCGAGTATATTCGGAAACTGGATAGGTTCATAATACATCAAGAAGTGGAGTCTCTGCATGAGTGCCGTCTTGTGAATTTGTCGACGCCCGGACTCGAGTTTTTTACAACACTAGTTGTAAGGGTAAGCGTGCTGGTGAAATTTCAAGCATATGAGACTTGTCAACTTTATACTGTATATCTCAGAGAATAGGTTCCCAAACTATTTGGCTCACAGCCCACTTGGGCAAGATAAAAAAATTTCAACGCCCACCACCACAAAAAATAATACGTATTTTTTGTATGAATTTAATATAAAAAATTAAAAGGACAAAGAATATATATTTGTAGTGTAGTTTATACACGTAATTCAGGTTTTTTTTTCAAATGCGGTGTACTGCACCTCGTGTACAGCATCAACTGTTTCCAATAGCTTCCGCGACGTCTCTACCCTGCTCTTCAGCATCCACTTTGGGGCACTTTGGGAAACTATGTCTCAGAGTGATGGGTACAGTGACAAAGTCCTTCAGATCTTTGTTTGAAAAGCTCTGAGTGGTACGGGTACGGGCAACAGTTGTAGGTAGGTGTGTCGTTTACCACCAGGCGCATGAATTGTTCGCCTTGTCACATGAAATCATAATAAAATGTGAAACAATTTTGAAAATTGTCACATCGATTTAGATTATAGTTTGTTCATTGGTGTTTGATTTATTTTATTACTAATTTAGTAACTGTCTAGTTTAGTAATTTGCTCCGTGGCCGAACGGCATGGTAAGCCGGACTGCCACGCAGAGGCACCGGGTTCGATTCCCATGCCGGGAGAAATATTTGTATGGCCTGCATTTATTTCCCTAGTGAGTTTGAGTGTAATTTGTGATTGGCTATGTGTGTGTCCATGGCACCCGCGATACAAGGTTTCCCTAGTGCGGGGCTATGTTAAGTGTTGAGGGTGTTTATGTGCTAGGTAAGTACGCCTCTATCGTATTTCCCTAAACTCTGACATAAGTTCTAAAATTGTGTATAATATATGATGAAATTGTATATAATATACGATACATAGATATAGGGTTTCCTAGGGGCTGTGAGTGTGCGCGCGTTATTGTTATTATTTATTTAGGTACTTAACGTTTCCTTCTTTAAATATTCCATAAATATTTAAACCTAGCCGACCCATAAATCTATCTTAAATATTCAATAATAGGTACCTTGACCTTTTACAGTGTGTTTTTTAAGGCCTTGATTGTTGTACCAAATGTGAGTTAACGCTGGGAGACGATTTAACAATATCCTTGATGTTTCAGTACTAAAGATGAAAGTATTCACGGAGAGAAAGTGAATTATGGTGATGAGTTTTTATTGAAAGCGGAAAACTACGGTGATCCCGATGTTAGTATTAATCATTAAAGTTTTCTCAGACTTCATAGTTCAAGAGTTAATATTGAAAGCCATAGTGTAAATAACGAATAAGTAATTCTACGTTTTATAGTAATTAACAAAAGTTACACTCAGCCAAGTGAGACAAGGTGCAATTTAACATATTGACAGATTAATATATACCGTGCTTAGTAGAACTGAAAAAATAACTATTAGGCCTAAAGCGCAGGCTACACAGCGATCGAAGCTAGCTCACGTAGTTGCATGCAACCAACTATGTCAGCTAAGATGAATTAGCTAGCTTAGGTCACGTAGTTGCATGCCAAGCTAAGCTAAGAAAATAACTAGTAAGTAGCGGGATCGTTGGGTTAGTTCAATTAGCTCGCTAGTGTCGCAGTAGGGGCTTTTGTCCTTCTAGGTATTTAATAAAACAAAAGACAAAACTGCGCAATAAAACATTTACTAGGGCCAACGGCCAGCTCAGTGACATGCAAAGGACGTGGTTCGGCCTCACACAGACAATTCGATCCGTGTTTACTTATTTACTGCCCTGATACCGTGCCTGGGTGGAAGACGGACGCTCAGCGGCGGGGAAACGCCGAGTTGTTACAGTCGCTTGCCTGCTCGAAGATCGTACTAAGCCGAAAGCGAAGCGGAGGCAACGGTTTCAAATCCGGACTTTGGACCCTGGAACGTGCCGTTAAACAAAACACCGTTACACACAGTTCCAGAAAACGCTGTGTCCACGGCAACGGCAGAAAGGAAAAGTACTTATGTAGTTGTGTTGCCAAGGTTGTTCACAATCAGACACGGAATTACAATATAACTATAAAGTAAAGCGTTAAGTAACTTTGTGCAAATGCGAGGGTGGACTGGAACATTAACTAATAATTATTCAACAGATTCAAGCACAATCAATAATTTATCTTTTGCAACATAAATCTATATAATCATAATCATAATTGAGATGCATTTACTGTTAACACAAATAAAAATAATCATGCAAAACTGCAACTTCCCAAGCATTGCGAATACGTAACAAATTGGTACATAATTTGTCTAAAGCACAGCCTAGCAACAAGCAACATCAATACCACTTACCCAAACTGGGGTTACACTTATGCACTAATAAGATATTTTAAATACTGATGATATTTTCGAAGAACGTACAGTGACGAACACCAAACTACGGTTACGTTTTAAAATACGTAGCATATTACTTGTGACGTGCGTTCTCTCGAGAGCTGTTGGATCGTCTGCCGTGGCGGCAATGAGCCGGGGCGGCGGCGCGGGCGCAGCCAACATGACGTCAATGCCGAACAAAAGAACAGTTTACCGTCGGCGCTAAGACGGCGCTCGGGGTGACTAAAATTATTGTATTGAACGCATGATGATGGGAACCTCTGCCTACCCCGATTTCAATTTAGTAAGTATGTATGTATAACGTTACACTAGCTATGTAAAAATGACGCCCTTCACTCCCACACGTATCCATATTTAGCTAAGCTATCTAGCTTCGTTCGCAGTGTGGCCTGCGCTTAAATGTGCCGACAAATATTCCGGAAAGGTAATAACAAATTTATAATTTGTGTATTATTTTTAGGCGGCGCCACTCTATGTGCGCTATAACCCGGAAGGAACTCCTGCCCCCAAGGACGTCATGCCTATCCGTTTAAGCACAAGTAAAGATACCAATTGCCGTTGGACTACCTCACCTCTGTGTACAAAGGACAATCTCGAATTACTTGGCAGTCCCATCAGGGTAATGTAACTTTAAACTCAGTTTAGGTGTTATGAAAAAAAAAAACCTAATGACCAGTAGGTACTTCCTAAAACAAGCGCTCACATCTAAACATCTTGTTCCATCTAAACATCTTGTGTTAACTTAACTTACTTAACATTCGACAGTATTTTTGAATTAAGTAAAGGAGTACTGGACCTTCTTGAAACGGATTCGAATTAAGCCGTTCAGAAAAATCTTTATGTCCATGTAACAAGAGCGAATATGACATTGGGCGTTTAGCGTCGGCGATCCGAGCGGATACGAAACGCGCAACGTCATTTTCGCTCTTATTATTGACATTTAGACGATTTCATGACAATTGAGTTATAGACGTAAAGGTTTTTCTGACCGGCTTGAATAAATGTGGCGAATCCCTAAGAAGTGACGGACGGTGTAACTTCAGTAGATAGGAGTCTACTGAACACATTTAAATATGGGGACGGAGCGGGAAACTACATGACCCGTTCTGTATATTCATTGAATTGAGTAGATATAAAATTTTTCCAGGGCACAACTCATTTTCGATTTCAAAGACGTCCCCATTGTAAAAGTTTAGATAGAATCACCCCTTGAAAATCTCGCAGATATTTAGACCGCGTTCTGATTAGACGCTTTTGTGGATACGCTGCACTCGCGCGCCTTTAGTGAATTTACAATTTTCTATTCGCTTTCAACGCGTCCTTAGAGGTCGCTCTATACTCTAACCCAAAAATAACTGTGCAGTAAATTGTATTTTTTTATTTACTCATTTACCTCACATACTTTGGAATACTCACTGGAAGCTATAGCACAGGTTTCGACCTAGTTTAGATTCCAGCTTCCTCACAAACTATAATTAGCTAATACAACTAGTACTTATTAATATATGTATCAAGAATTTTGTAGTTTGTGATGGTACAAATAAACTATTTTTCCTTTTTTTTTCATACAGACTGGTACGAAGTTACTTATAAAGAATTGTGTTGCGGATACAAATCTTGCGGTCATGAATCAAAACTGGATGACAACCTTTTTTGGACCTGTATGTACATACTTTAAATCATGTATCTAGTCGAGGGCAACACTATGTAAACATAATATGTATCTATGACATAAGTAGGTATTCGGTATTCTATATACAAGTATGCATTCTATATACAATTCGGTATACAAGTATGTATATTAAATGCTTCTAAATCCGTATAAGGCAGTGGAACCGATGATGGACAGTGCACCAAACATGAACATTTTTGAACTATGCCGACAAAAATAAGAAAACGCTAATTATTTCTTTTCACTTTCAAATTTTTTTATAATTTCTGTTTAAAATGTAAGACATCACTTAAATTTTGACTGGCGGCCATCTTTATTCGCCATTATCGCGGTGTGAAATAGGACTGTGATAACAAATTTAATAAGGAAATAAATATATGGACCGCGCCTCAGGTATGTCTATTATAATAATATTTGAATGTGGTATTTAAGAGTGTGGTGACTTCTATAATAAAGCGCTTTCGTTGTTAGAAGACTTTTTAATCAATTAAACCTTACCTCGAGTTCCACAGGGTAACCCATCCAAAATTAGAAGACTAAAACAAAAAATAAAACCTTAAACCGTCCATGATTGGTTCCACTACCTTAGGTACTTTACCGAAATACTTAAACATTTATACACAGTAAATCTTGCCGCATGGGAATGTATTCCCTTTTGAACAATTCTCACACAGTGACAACCATTGCTGCGAAACGTGACGATTTTATAGCATAATTATATTTATACGGAGTTGCTTATTGCTAAGCACGGCTGTCACATTGTATGTACCTTTGCGACACGACTAAATTCGTGGTGTCACGTATCGCGGCGACAGATGTCCCTTACTTTCCTTCCTCTTGTCAATTTAATAACTACACATAAACAAAGAAGACCTATGAGAGCTCATATATATTTATACAGGGTGTAATCGTTAAGTGTGCCCAGACGATTATTTCGTCCAAACAAGAGATATCAAAAACCTTTAAACTGATATCGAAAGTACGTTGCCGAATAAGTAAAACAAAAAGACGCCTCCTACGTAAAGTATCGTATGTCGAAATTGCCACGTTTATATGGGAGCGTTTTAAAGTTTTGAATTCACTGAAATGAGTATAATTATAAAATAAATTGTGGTTGTTCATCTAACCCAGGGGTCCCAAACTTATTTTGTCTACTGCCCACTTTGAGAATAAATTATTTTTTAGCGCCCCCATTTCTTCACGTACTTAAAAACCACTATAACTTCAATTTAAATTAATTATTGTGAGCTATATTAGCGGAGATTAAACATTCATTCTAAACGAGACTTTTACTATAACCCGCAAGAGTTAACTTGAGACTTGAGCGTACTAGGTAGTACACAACGGCGCTCAGGTCTCAAGTTAACTCTTACGGGCTACAATTGCCAATGAAAATGATTATTGAAACGCAACTTTATAGTATTCAGGCAGAGTATCTTTTATTCAAAATAAAACAAATATAATCGATTCTAATATAAAAACTAACGTGAAAGATGAATCTGATGCTGTTTAATAAGTTTGTTGATATCAGGTTTTAATTTACTCAAGAACAGAAGCAAGTCACCACGTTCGGTAACATGCAAACGATTTCTCTTTTTATTAAGCAGCGTTGTCACAGCACTAAAACCACGTTCACACAAATATGACGATGGGAATGCTATCTAGAATCGTTGAACGTTTGACCACAATCCAGGGTACAATTGCGGGATCGGTTTTTGTAGCCAAAATTCTTGGCAGCCATTTTTGAACTTGATTTTTATTTCCTCGTTCGTTGTCAATTCTGTAAGTTCTTCTTCCAGTTGAGGTGATATTGCTGTGTTGACATTTGAAAACGGATCCAACACCCAGTCTGGTATTTCCAAATTTAAAATTTCCTGGTATCGTTCGGTGAAGTCAATGTGGAGGTTTTCCAAATATTGGCACTGGCAAACAAGACGTCGTTATTGCAGGATACTGATAAATTCGGAAAATTGTGAAATACATCTGCCCATATTCTTTTTGTGTAGAAGCAGTTTGGCTGCGAAAGCAGCAACGACATTTTTTGTTTTAATTAAATTGAGTTCATCGCCTTGCAGTTGGAGATTCATGTCGTTGAACAATTTATACAGGTCTGTCATGTAAGCTATATCATTCTTTGATGTAATGAGCTTGTTGCGCAATTCTGTATCTTTAGTTTCCAAGAACTCTATCACAGAATCAAACAAGTTGTAAAATCGAGTTAGACAAATTGCCTCTTGATAGCCAACGAACTTCAGTATGAAACAACAAACGGTTTAAATCTTCGTTATTCGTAACACAAAGCTGATGAAATAATCTATCATTCAAAGAGCTGTTACGGATTTTTTTGACTGCTTTGATGACATATTGCGGTGATTGAAATAGTCGTTCAATTAAATTTCTAGCAACCAAATTTTGTCTATGAATAACGCAATGTACAGCAAAAACATCTGGAATTTTATTTTTTAAGTACGCTATGAATCTTTTATGGCACCTATGACAGGGTGCCATAAAAGATTCATCAATTCGTCTTCGCACAAAATTATTACGCAAAGGAATTTTTCGGATAATATCTGTGGCCGGTTTATGAAGCACAGTAGTTATTACTTCCTTTATTGCTGGCAAAATTCTCTCAAAAACTCTTCTCCGATGTTGTGTGGTTTGCCTTTTTGAGCAATTAACAAAGAGATATTGTACGAAGCTCAAAGTCCGTCGTCATCTTGCTTAGCAGCCGCCGAAAAGAGTTTTGCTACACTTGGCTGAGTATTATGCTTCTTCTCTAGGTGTTGAAAATATGCTACATTCTTGTCTTTCTTTTCTGGATGCATTTTATTCAACTGATCTTGCAGTCTTGAAA